CTGCACAGGATCTGGGCATCACTGTGTCACATAAGCTGGCACAGTTCAGTAGTGGCTGTCTACTGCAAAAAGGGTAAGTCCTGTAGTCGTGTGTATGGGCAGAAGTACAACAATAATCCTTCTGTATAACCCTGGTGGGAGTCCTGCAAGCACCATCCTCCAAGAAATTTGTATGAACCCCTGGCCCAGAGGAGAGTAATAAAGTCACTCAACACTTCCAGAGAAACCAGTAAGAAAACCAAAGGAGGCTGTGATGTTGCAATGTCCATTTATGTTGGGGACATACTATTGTAGTGACTGCAGAAGCCTGGTCAAAAATAAAGGGATAAATCAAAGCAAGGAAGATTCTGTTTAGATATTAGGGAAACAAACTTTGTAGTTTCACAGATAATGACTGTCTGGAGAGACTCTACAGCCCTCAAGTCTATGTCCATACAAACAACACACTTTGAATTGTACACATGCCACTTGAGGACTCCACAGTCTGTAACAGCATGAGGAGGGGAATCCAGCCTCAGAGAACTCATCCTCTCTTCCCCATCACCTCTTTAATATTGGGACTTCAGCATATCTTCGATACACAGGAGACTAAAGCAATCTGTTCAGCATAGTCAGATCAAAAGGCAGACTGGTGTGAGTCACAACCACTTAGCAACTTACTTAAATGAATTGTGGACAGAGAATTTGTTCAAATAATTTGCTGATAATTTCCCTTGAATATGTAGGGATCAAAACCTTTTTTTCTTTAAACCTCCATAGCTATTAAAAATCTTTTAGCAAAATTCCTATGTTTTATGTCCCTGTTATAATAAGTCCAGTGTTATGCATCTACTATAATGAGTGCAGTTAGTTCAATTCACGATATCTTTAGCTAGAAGAGACGTATAAAATACGTTAGTCTTAAAATCTAAATTTAAAGAGATGTTATTCACTATGCATAAAAATAAATAATTGGAAGAGCCACAAATAAATCATCCAACTCCTAGTTCCAGTAGAAACATTGAAAACCAGCCTTTCCTCACTTTGGTGGTCTGCTGTGGCTTTAATCTTTTTTGGTAAATAACATCCTAAATTCATTCCTATAGGTCTGATTTTCTGGAACTAGTTGTTGCCCTCCTATGTTTTATTTCTTAAGAGACTATCTGGCACTTATGTCTCATGATTTCAGACAATATTAGGGGTGCAATTTGAAAAAAAGAAACCCTAGATATTTTATTATTATTCAGTATTGCTTTCTAGATGAAAAAAAAGTTGTTGTTGGGTTTTAAGGCGCCAGTCACAGTTGATCTTGCTTGATTTTTCAGGTTTTAATTCCAGCTCAGCATGACTGTGGCCAATAGGCTGGCAACCCACCAGCTGCATTCTGCCTCTCTTGCTCTTAATTATTCAGCTCTCCAGTTCTCCTCCCTCATCGGTTCTGTTCTGGTCACCACAATTAATTCTCATTTCTTACTCCTGTGTTCACCTTCGACTCATTAGGTTTTGGCTCCTCTCCACTACTGTTTCAGCTCAGCATTTTGCAATTTACCCTTCTTTGGTTTTCTAGGGTTGAAGGACTGTTTTCACTTGCTTCTTACAGAAGAATGGGTGAATATTTTGCTGTTGTCAGGTAGGTGCCAGGGTAACTTCTACCTCTCCCACCAGCCATTTTCCTTCACAGGCTGATCTGGAAGCACAAAACCACCCGAAGTGTGCAGAAGCACCATCAAACACTTTATCCTGTAGGCTTTAGAGCTCTTTTATGTACAAGGATGTCTGGGGAAAGAGACTGACTGATGAACCCCAACTCTCAGATGAAAGTTTCATGCTCAAACCAGTTATTTTAAGGAATATTACAATTAATATCCTGCATGGGGGTTTTAAGCTTATCAGGCAGAGCCAGGAGGAACTGACTGACGGCTTTTCCCTAGAAGACAAGAAATACGGTCCCTTCAGAGTGATTTTCTCTCTTGGTCCTTTTTTCCTCAGCAGATTTTTTCTGAGCAGATTCCTCACTAACATTCTTAATTGGTAAATTATTTGTAACCAAAGTCATACTGCAGCTGTTCAGTTATTGTACAATCATGCCTTAATCTGAGATAAGCTTAATTCTTGAAGTGGATCTTTGTATAAATTTGAAACCCAAATTTAGCTTTTCTCTGTGGGGAAGCAAAAGGAAGTTTGTGCTTGCTTGGAGTTTCCAGTCCCAGTATTGTATCACTGGCTGATGACAGTGTCGAGGTGACATATCAGAAAATTGCAAATAGACCTTTTAAAAATCATCTAGTCATAGGATTGATTTTGTTTGGGCCTGGTTCACTCATATGTAACCGTGGAGTTGTATCACTTGGAACAAGCTTAAAAGAAACCTTAACACAGCTCCGTGACCTGCTTTGAAATCCTTATTAGTAATGCCTGGTTTTACTTTAGAGACATCATGTTAAATCCTGTGCAAATAGAGGGAAAGACAGCCATTCAATACAGACTTTGTATTTCTTGAAAGGAAATGTCCTGGACTTGTCTGGGATAGATTTCAGTTTCTTCCTAGTAGATGGTGCAGTGCTGTGGCTCGTATTTAGCACAAGAACACTGTTGGTAAGACACTGATGCTTTCGGTGCTGTGGGGCAGGTCTTACACTAAGGGAAGGACTTTCCAGTTCCCCATGCTCTGCAGGGAGCAGGTGCACAGGATGCTGAGAGGCATCATCATGAGGACAGCTGACCTGACCTGGCCAAAGAGATATTCCATACTACAGAACACCATGCTCAGTATAGAAACTGGGGGAGTTGGTCAAGAGGAGTTGATCACTGTTTGGGGGGCTAAGCATTGGTCAGCAGGTGGTGAGCAATTGCATTCTGCATCACTTGTCTGTCGTGGGTGGAGGGCTTTATTCCTTCCTCTCTCACTTTGATTTTCATTAAGTCTACTGTTATTATTAATATAAATTATTTCAATTATAAAATTTTTCTTATTTTAACCCATGAGTTTTAGTTTTTCCTCTTTTTCTCCCAGTCCCTGTGGAGGTAGAGGGGAGTGAACAAGTGGCTGCATGGTACTTAGATGCCAGCTGTAGTTAAACCATGAAAGGAAAGAACTAGAATAAGTACAGAATGGGTTCAGGAATACAACTGCTCCATGACTTTTTATCAACCAGTTGGTGTTGCAAAGTGATTTGGAAAAAAAAAAAATTTCTTAGGGTGAAGTTACATGAAAAGCCTAATGTTTCCCTTTGAAACATTAGGTATTTGAAGGAAGCGATTCTTTGAAGCAGACAGTGGCATCTAATTAGTTAACTACTAATGCAAAGGAGGCAATATACCAGTTGATGCAATTGGTGGCAGCAGGAGTTTGGAAATAAATATCTCTATTTGGCACTGCGAAGTGAAGCAGAGCTCAAATTTCTGTGGATTGCCTGGCCCCAAGCTCATGTCTCAGAGCTCACATTTCTGTGGTAAAATTAAATCTCAGTTTAAGCTCTGTGATTCAGTCTGGCTACTTACTAAAATTCATCTGACCTCCCTAGGTTGTGAATATTTTGAGTTGGCCTGCATGGAGCTCTTGCTAAGATCTTGACAGGACCCAGTTCTGATAGGGTATTTCCATAAAAGCTTAGAAGAATTGTCCTAACAAAAACAGAGACACTTTAAAGCAGTAACTACCATCCTAGCTAGAAACCAGAAACAGTGGCATGTGAAAACAATGAACAAACAGAAATCCTAAACCTCAAGAAACCGCAACTGAGCAGAATATGGGGAACAGTCATTTATGGATTTGTAATACATTTTGTACTGGGTTCACTCAGACTGCCTCTTTAAAGATGCTGCATTCCTGGTTATGGCTGGACCAGGCTATGGACACAGCTGGTGGAGAAGTGAGTGCTCCCTGCAGAAGGCAGCTCAGCTCCCTTCTGCCCAAAGCTGCTGTGTGCAACAGTCTTGTCCCTAATGGCACCAATGCAGGTGGTCTTCCAAAGCTCAATGAGATGTCTCTGGTATTAAGGCGTTCAAGTTGATTGTCTGCTTGTATCTATGACCATCTCACTTTGTGTGTGCGTGTTTAGGATTCATAGTCCCTTTGAAACAAGATTCTCAATATCAAACCAAAGTCAGCATGACAGATGGCAGTAAAGTTGGCTCTCCTGAGTCTATTCTGTGCATTGCTAAAAAGGCTTGTTTGTCCTGTGCACCCTACCATGCCCTGGAGGTATCAGCATTTTGTCATTTGACTTAGTTCCCATCCTTTCTTTCCTACTCTGAGATTCTGTCTACTATCCTTACATCACCTCTATCAGCCGACAGTGCTGTCTCTTAGGCCAAGCAGATTTCTGGTTCTGGCTCAGATTAGCTTCAGAAGCTCCATATCTACTGTCTCACAGGCAACATCAACACATGCTCATAAATCTGTCAACAGGTCTTTGTGTGAGCAAGCTCAGCAATGGACACACAACAGCATCCCCGAACAGAGCCCTGGAATTAAAATGACAGCCTCCTCCCACGTTGCTACCCGAGGTTTACTCCACAGACCGCGTACTTAGCACTCCCAAACCACTGCCTTTTCAGCTTCAAAGGTTGCCTTGCATCACAAGTGACAGCAAGGAGAAAGAAGCTCTGTCCTTCCTATTTAGCAAGTGCACCCTTGTGTTCTCAGGCAGCTTTGTCCAAGTCCATCCCTAAGGAAGTGCAGCGCAGTCCATGCGCTCTGCGGTCGCGACTGAGTCGCTGTGCAGGCTGCAGCTGCACTGCCACACAACAGACCTAGCTGAAGGAAAGGTTTGCTTATGCCATGATGAGCAAGCGGGAAAGGTCTCTCTGCTGCTAGCTTGATAAAAAGGAAAGAAAAAGTAAATGATTATCAATAAAGTGTGTTTGATTAGGTGTCACTGAGAGAAAGAAAATGCCATTTCATGTCACTTTTTAGAAAGCACAAGGTGTATAACTTTTGGGGATCATTTTGCTCTTGACTAATCTTCAGATTCAATATTAAAATCTCAAACTTCCCAAAGGAAAGAGATTCTGCATCTTTTAATGAAAGATAAAACAACAATATAAACATACACAAATTTACAGAGAAAGGATCAACTTTAATACATCTGGAGTAAAAGGTGTTCTTTTTTTAAATATGGTATAAAAATAAATGCAAGAAACATTAACAGAGAATATACAGACAACAGACAAAGACACAGGCTTTCTTTCTCAATGTGAATACATCAGTGAAATGAAACCTTCTGTGCTAATTTATTGTGCAATAAATGTGATGCCATATGTATATTTATTAATATATGCATTTTTTACATTTCTTCCAGTTTTTGATTGACGTATTTTTTTTAATAAACTGTGCCTAGCAGAAGCTTTTTTTTCACTGTACTTGAGCTTGCAGAAAATAAAAAGACACAGATCCAGCTTGATATGAAGGAGGAAGTGAGCAGACAGTTTTCGAAATGGAGGCATCGAAAGGCTAGAGAGTCCCTCGGAGTCTGTAATGCCTTAGTATACACAAAAGAAAACAAGTCAGGTCCTTGCTCATGCAACATCTTGTTCTACTGTCCTCTGAGTCAGGCAATCAGTGAGCTACAAAGTATGTATAATGATTTGAGTCTGCTTCCATGCTACAAGGTGATCCTTTTAGTAGGACTGCACTAGACTGGTTAACCTCTTTGATGTGAGCGATTTCCCCTGAGGAAAAGATAAAAACAAAAAACAAAAACAGAAAACAGAGGCATGATCACTGCAAACCTGTTCATCAGCAACCACTCAGTGTTGCCACATCACTCTCAAATACTAGGGGCACCAACTGGAGTCTGTCAAATCTTAAACCACAGGAAGTCCTTACACTTAAACACCTGCACTGCCAGCCAGCCAGATTGTTTCACAGAACAAGCCAGAAAATTTAAAGGCCATTTTTGAACGAGATTGGTTTTGGCTGATAAGAAGCTGAAGTTTTTGCTGTCAGTCACACCCAGAACTTGAAGGCTACTGAAAGCAAGAGTGCCTTGTGCTGCAAAGATGAATGTGCAAACTGCGGTAGCTGTGCACAGAGGACAAAAAAGATACTTTCAAGTTAAGGTAAGAAGGTAAGAGGCAGATTGCATGTAGGTAGGAAAGCAGCTTTTCCATGAGCACAGCTATACATCTGCTGAGACCATATTTACTATTTATAAGGAACATTGGTCAGGTATTATTACATGTGACTGCATAACACTGTTTGAAGTTGTTGGATTTCCATATTGTTATTTTCCTCATCATTCCTCCTGTTGCAAGGATGTGGTTTCAATTTTTTAACAAGTTCTTTTAGTAAGGTGTAATGACTGTCCCACAAGAGCTAAGTCTACAGCGTGAAGAAAGTGGTGTAAGGTATGTCACCCTGGTATATTCCAGGCAGATTTGAGCTTTATCTGAGCCAGACAGAAACCACAGTACCACAGGAATTAGCTCTCCTACGGACACATAAAAGGAGTTAGCTCTCCCAGGGCCATCCTACTGTGGCTCTGATCCAACAGAGGCAGAGCGGGCACAGCAAGCTGACACCACAGGCATGCCCTGACAATGTAACACAAATATATCATAAAATATTAAATAGAAAATGGCTCTAACTCACCGGTTAGATATTTAATACTTACATTTATTATATTGTTCATTTTAAGTGCCCAATTCAGAAATACCAAACTGATTTCAATGAGAATACAGTAAAAAATACTGTAACTATGGAGAGATGCTTCATTTTCTGCAGTAAATGGTAAATGAACTTATTCTGCCATATCAATAAATTGTTAAGTCATCTGCAGTGTTATAACTCAGTGGAATTACACAATTTAGTATCTATTGTCATTGTCAATTAAATTTAAGCTCATGGGGATCTGTAAGTTGGTCTTGAGCATTCACTTAAATGCAATGTATCAGACTGGGTCTTCGTAAAAAGAAGAATAACTATTTTATTCTTTGTGCTGTGAAATACAAGTTGAACAAATTAGGATGAATATTTCCCCAACAACATAATTTGAAAGGGAACTCATGATTTGCAATGTTGACAAGACTGCACATCCATCAGGTACCCCATATCACCTGACAGTATTAACACCTACTTCTTTGAAGGATGGGAAGTCTCCTTCCTGGCACTCTGTCTTCTCTGTATCTGCCACTTTCTACCTATATTAAATTCACAGCTTCTTGATACTTTTTATCCCTTAAATTATGTTTTCCTCTAATGCAGCAGGTAAGCTGTTATATTAAGACATACTTTCTTTTTAAATAATCAAAAAAACCTAAACAGTAGTGTGGCCTTGGAATACAGTTTAAAACAACAAAAACATTTCCAAAATTAATGTTTTGTTAGACAACTTTGTTGGACAATTCATGACTTTTGGTTCTAGACACAATCTCAGAAAATGAACATACGCTTATCTTTGCCTTTCATTAACTTATTTGCAGAAAATAAAGTTTACAGGTCTACAGGTCTGGCTTCTTTCTGTAAATATGTTATGAGTTCCCTATAGTACTGAACTGCATAACCCACTTAATTAAAATATTAAACCCAGGAGTTCTCAATTAGTTACAATTTGCTCAGTACTACATTGAAAAGCTGCATAAATGCTTGCTGTGGTATAAAAATCTGTGAAATAATTGTTTATCATTTGCTACTACTATTTAGGAGTTAAAAATTTCTGGAATTTCTAGATGGACCACAAAAAATTCTATCATCTCAGGAATGAATTATATTATCACATAAATTAGGAAGTCTTGACATAAAATCAGGCCAAAAAGTAGTTATTAGTTGATCTGATTTGTGTGATTGTTTTCTACATATTGTTTGAATTTTCTCCTAGAAACACAGTGAGCTGTCATGACAGTTCTTTTCTGTATTCCACATAACTTGCTCCCTGGATATTGCTGATCTTTGGATACTTTTTCGCCAAAGCCCTACAGTGACCAGGAATTCTCAGGATGGTCCTCTCCTTCAACTCCCCTCCCTGCCTCAGAGAAACCTCCCTCTGAACAAGAACAACAACAACTTGTCTTTTTCCATGCATTAATAGTTCTAATTTATCACAAAGTTGGAAAAGTGACAGCTTAGAAGATACATCCTCCTTAAGAGATCTTAAATGCTTACTCTGAATCATATTAAGTTCTCTGATTAGGAAAATAATCTTTTAATACACAGAGTCCGTTGCAGCCCCAGATACAGAATTATCACATCTTCTTATTAGATCTGCAGGGACTTGTTATTTTCCACTTTACAAAATATTCCTTTCAAACTCTGTTCCAGAGTATACTTTTGCTTTAGCTCCCTGTGGTAGGGTTGAATAATTACTGCTTCTGGATTTCCAGATTTACTTAATTTACAGACTGATGTAAGGATCAACCATTGTAGGTCATAATTTAAGACCTGAGCCTCGCTATTTCTTTCAGATACAATATAAACAGCATTTCCATAAGCCAGATATTGATTTGGGAACTTGCAGGCCAGTTTTCAGAGTTGTAACATCTGAAGATATTTCCTGTGCTAATGAGATTAAAGAAAATTAGGGGGGAAAAAATCAGAAATAGTAGATGCTTATCTGATTAATGAAAAGGAGATCCTTAATATTTTCAATATATTCTTACCATCAACATTTAGAAGCATATGGCCAAATTCTAAAGATGATTAGGATTTTTTGGCTGTGTTAGTGCACTTTGGACATAACAATGGTAACTATTTAAGAATTTTATTAATAATGCAGATGCCAAAATGGAACCTTGCCCACATACCCTGACAAGGGAGTCAGAATACAAAAAGGCAGCACAGCATCTGGAATGAACAAGTACATCTAAAAGTACAAAATCAATTGGCCTCAGCATTCAGTCCCTATTTGAACATACTAACTATTTGACATAGAGTTGTCTTTCCAGCTTTACTTCTAGTGAATTTCGGGTGCAAAATTGTAGACTATGTGCAGGTGCTGCTAAATACAGTTGTGCTGGCTGACCCATTTATGCACTAATATCTCAAATAATGCAGCAAAAAAGTCAGCAACAACCTCCATACATATGTAGCTTAAAAGAAATCAATATGAAATGTATATAGGTGTTGGAGTTGAAATGTATGGTAAAGATCACTTCTCTCCCTTTTAGGAGATTAATTATCTTCCTTTCTGCTAAGTAACCTCAACTGTTCAGTTTTCATGTTTCTTTATTGCCAGTGCAGGTGCTACTCCTCAGGACCTACACTGGTAGCACTAGAAAAGAGAACTCCATGCATCTGATGGGGAAAGAGAGGTAGAGTCCTACTGTGAGCAAAATGAGATGTGGAGGGAGAACCCTCCTTGGTCTCAGTGTTCTCCATCTGCTCACGTGTGAAACACCTGCAGCACACCATCAGCTCAGCCAGATCAGCAGGGAAAGCTTCCAAGTGACATTGCAGTGCACTGCACACAGAGCTGGTGTGTAAACAGCCCCTGACAGGAGCACATCTGGCGGGACATGGCAGAAGAAGCAGTAAATCCCTTTCCATGTTGAGGCAGCCCTTGCTCCACCAGCATAAGGGAATTGCTTTAGCACTGCTCTGGGGTTCAGAATTCTGCTTTAGCTTCCACAGCAGCACAGGATGCTGCTGTCAGCCATCTGTGCAGGTGTATTTCTCTTTCAGATGCAAGGAAGGGGACAAGGCTAGTATTTACTCAATTTGGGGCACAAGTTGTCAGCACAGCTGCAGTGCTAAGTGGTTACATGTGCAGGGAAATCCTGCCTCTGGCTGAGATTTGCAGCCCTTTGTTCCCTTCTCATTAGGGCCATACATGTCATCCTGCACTGATTTGAAGCAGGAGGCAGTGGCTGAACAACTGTTTTGGCTCACTCCAAATCCAGTGACATCCATTTCTTTCTTCTTTTGCACTTTGCATTTACTGCTGAGCTGCTCTCATTTGTGATTAAGCTAAAACCTCTTGCCAGATTTTGAACTTGAATAAATCCATAGTTTGAACTTGAATAACCATCTAAAATGTAGGTTTCCAAGGAACCAATCCACAAGAAAAATATTTTTAGTATGTTTGTCCTGGGCCTGACTCCTCAAGTTTCCATACCTCTCTGCAGCTGTCATTCCTGCAGATAGCCTAAGAATCAGGTAAATGTTTTTCAGTTGTAAACTGTCAGACACTGGCCCAGTACCTGACCAGTCTGTGCTGGCTCCTCACTTGCATGGACCTGGTTGTGCAACTCCTAAGCTCCTCTCTGCTAGCAAAAAGCACAGCAGCTTAGCTACAGTCACTGCAGAACAGCACAAGGAGGCCATTCCTCACTGGCATGCCCTTTATCATTTTCCTCTGTGGGCATAACTCTTAGAAAAGCCTCCTAAAACTAGGGCTTTTTACTAATTAGTAGGCCAAATTAAAATTTTCAGTTATTTATTTTTTCTTTTTATTCAAACATGAATAAGACATCTCTTCCTGAAATGGAAAAGGCCTTCATTTCTACAAATAATTATTATTTTCATTCTTGTTTTGTATTTTTCAAATAAGTAGCTTTGTGATTTATATTTCTTCTGACTTGCTGGGTTTTTTTGTTTAAATTTTGGGAATAACCTGTAAATAAATCCAAAATTAGATTCCACAGCTGAAACTGTATTGAATTTCTTGGACAAAGCTATACTTAAGAAAAATCTAGCCCTCAGCAGGGTTTCACGACTAGATGGACTAGATGGCACA